GTTCTCTTTTGAAGATTGAATGAGATTACAGATCACGTGCCCTGCACCTGGTAGGCATTCAATAACTTGTAGATATTATTATGTGATCTATTGCCATTTCTCCAGGAGCTGCAGAATACACTCCTCTCTCAGAGGTGATGAAGAAGGTGTGGGAGTGGGTGGTCCCTCCGTGCTAGTTGCTGGCAAGGGTGAACTTGATTGAACTTGTTTTATTCACAACTGTAACGAGATACACACAGTACTTTTTTCCTTAAAAATTCATAAAATTATACACAAACCATCTGAGCTGGAGGGATCTTAAAAATCTATTCCAAATGCTTCATGTTACAGATAAAAGAACGGAGGGGCCAAGAGTGGTTAAATGACTTGGTCAAGGTCAATTCACTCGTTAGTATCTACTTAAGTGACCCAAATTCCCTAGGATCGCATATTTCTTCCCTTCTAAAACCCTTCTTGCTCTCATATTCAACTATAAATGTAAAACAGGGACAATTCGCAAGAGACAATTATTAATGTTTTATTGTTACTGGCTCATTCTAAAACCCATAGACCTATTTTTAAATATTTTATTTTAATTTCTCTCCACACAAATGATGGACTTCCTGCCAACTAAGACTGAAATAGCTGCTTCCCATTCCTTTCCCATTCCAAGGATGTGTCCTGTAGCTCTTCTTTCTTCTATTATTATTAAGAAATATTCTGCCTTATCCTCGCGTGCCTAAGACAGAAAGGAGCTCAAGTAAACCGACAGAAAGCAGCTCTCTTCAAATCTACCAAGTGAAAGGGGCCCGGTGGGACCTCTACCGTGCGGGGCACTGGGTGCACAGGTGGCCATGTGCATCCCTGGCTCTCTCCTCTGTGGGCGGGGCCACAGCGCCAGCACCACTGCCGCCCTCATATTTTCCACCAAAGGCAGCATTTTGAGGGTCATTTTTTTTGGTGGGCCCCTCTGTTGAGCACATCTCTCAGCAGTGTGTATTCCACTAACGGACAAACCAGCCCAAACCCCATATGGACCAAATACCTTGGAAGAGCCTCAGGAGCACAGAGCATCTCATAAAAGCCTGACGGAACAAACACCCTCTCCCTGGATCTGCCCCGGGGTGACTCCTTCCGAGAAAGGGATTTTCAGCCTAGATGTCTCCTCTTCTCGTGAACATCCTCACCACCCAGCCCCCCCGGGCCTTCTGCCACTGTTGTATGCACTCACTATAGGAAACCGGTGTGCCGTCGGTGCCCCACCAGCATGCAAATCCTGTGAAGGCAGCGCCCTTGCTCCTCACGCTGTATCCCATTCTGGCTCCGAGTACCCACTCAGCGAGCAAGTGAGTGTGGGCACGTGTCCTTCCAACACTGCTGTCAGGCTGCCTCGGCCCCTGGGTCGGACTCCCGGCTTCACTCCTTACTAGCTGGGTGAACTAAGCCAATGACTTGAATGCAGCGAACTTCTCAGTGCTCATCCTGAGATAAGAATGCGTGTCTCACTGGGTCATTGCGGTCATCACATGAGATAGATGTGGGCGATGTGCTTGGGACAGGCCCTGGCACTAAAGCCCTTCATGCGCAGTAGTTGTTATTATTCCCACAATTAAAGTACGGCGTATTACTGTAAAGGAGTCACGGGGAGGTTACATAAATATTAAAGTTGAAATCAGGGGGTCTTAATGCAATCACAGAAAGTCAAATTTTTAATTAATTGAAACCAGGTTCTTCTTGGTGGCTGGACCAAGTTATTCATTTTCATAAAGGATCCCTAACTCAACCTTTGTGATAACCCCCTGTTACAATAAATTATCATCTGAGACCTCCTTTACCCAACCCCTTGGGATCCATTTGGAAAATGGCGTCTTTCTGTGAACACATGTGGTGAGATTTTTAAAGTAGAATTTTAAACACTTTTTACCGATGCGTATTGGCAATGATTTTCCACTGGCGTCGTCAGCAAGGTGCTACTTTCGTTTTTTTTGTGCTGCTGAATGGCTTGGACCAGCGGCATCCTGAGGCTTTTAGGAAAATCACTGCTCTTGGAGCACCAAGAATCTAAGTGGGGGGAGAGAGAATCCTTCTTTCCTTTATTACACCTTGATTCTCCCCTAGCGAATGAACGCTTTCATACAAAACCTGCATTTCCCCACGTGCTGCTGGCTCAGTCAAAGGTGCCGTGAGTAAGTAGCGCCTGGCTCTTTGCCACTGGCTGGGAAGGAAGACCCACCCGTCTGCCCAACGCAGCCCAGCTCTCCCCCTGCTCATCCCCTGGGTCTTTCCCCTCCTTACCGTGTCCGGTCCAGACGCAGCCTTGTCTGCAGGGAACTTCAGCAACTACCTCTGAGCCAGGTCACCCAGAATCTGTGCGTCAGACAGTGAATTAAAAGCTGTGGCTTAAGGGATCCGTGAGTAAGGGAGCACCCAGGCTTCTGTTTGAAGTTCCAAGGTGACTGACAATAGAGAAAGATCTTAAAACAACGTGTGAGAGTTTTATCTCCTTTGATCCTAAATCTGAAAATAGAAAGAAAAGAATATCTGCAGGGAAACTCCGCTGCTAGTCACTTTGCCACTCACTCGATGCTTTCTCTTCGAAGCCTTTCTAGCTTTGTCTCGCTAACAAGACCTATCCATAGACTCTAGAGACAAAACAAAATTTTCCACTGATAGTATTTTCTTCCTCAAATTTGCAAATAAAAACACTGCAGGAAGAGGAAGCAGGGAAAGGGAAATTAGACAAATAAGTACTGACCCTGCCAGTGGTTTGGAGGAAGATACTGTGAATTTTTTTCTTTACAAATTTAAATGCCTCTCCATCGGTACCTTTACCAATCCAGGCAAGTGACTCCTTGCTTCCTTCTAGTCCCCTGTGCCTTCCCTGAAGCCTGAGGGTCAAGGATGGGAGGCCTTGTGGGATGTACTGCAGTCCACATCAGCACTTGACTGCAGGGAATTGTTCTCAAGGTGAAAATTCCTGGGCACCTCTGAGACGTATCCCATATATTTTTTTTAAATAAACATCCCCAGAAGGTTCTGATGTGCAGCCAGCCTGAGAATCCCCCTTTTGGGTGACGGTATATGGTAAGTGCCGTGAGGCCAAGTACGAGGCTCCTTGCTCGTAGCTGTGTGCCCATCCTCTTCCTGGCACATAGGGGGCACTCGATCCACGTTTGTTTATAAACTTACCCAGAGGAACACACTTCGGAATTTGCCCTCATCTAAATTCCATCCTCTAGTACCCTGCAAATCACTCAGCAAGTGGTTCATTTTTTTTAAAATTAAGGCATTTAAAGTTTTTTTTAAAGATTTTATTTATTTATTTTTAGAGAGGGAAGGGAGGGAGAGGGGGAGAGAGAGAGAGAGAGAAACATCAATGTGCAGCTGTGGGGGGCCATGGCCTGCAACCTAGGCAGGTCCCCTGACTGGGAATCAAACCTGCGATGCCTGGTTTGCAGCCCGCGCTCAATCCACTGAGCTACGCCAGCCAGGGCAGCAAGTGGTTCTTAATCAGGAGGTGGTAGGGGCATGGCAAAGGGAGCTGAGATAGCTTTGGGAGATCAATAAATGCTCATGAAAGCTCAAACACACAAAATTTGGCCCACAGTTTCGGGGAATTCACAGACTTCCCTGAAACTCGTTCATGATTTCTGTTTATTCATTCACTCATCATTCATTTTGTAATGCCCTAGTGGGCACTGGCGGGGGCTCAGAGATGTGAGAGACCAGGGTACGCACGAGGTTAGGCAGGATTTTGGCTAGGAGAGGGCTCACAGTTTTTTGTCCTCGTCTCCTCGGGTGTGTAGAAAAGACCTCCAAAACTGGGCCCACAGGAGAAGAAAAGGAATTTCAGTGAGATTTGGAGCTCTTACCACTTTCTGGCTTTGAAAAAGAAGTGTAATGATATGTTTTATCCCTCTAACTAGATTTTTAGCTCCTTTAAGGCAGCCCACATCCCATGTATGTTGAACAAGGCACTTCAGAGGTACCCACAATACAATATCGGATGTGTGCATTCGTGCCGAGTAGGAGGAGACGGTACATCATATTCAGGGCAGGGAGCTAAAGGTAGCCTGAAGTGGCCGTTCAGAGTAAGGAAACGGGTGGCAGCTGGTTTTGCTGACTAGTTCAGGAGCCGCGATTCCTCGCGTGCAAACCAGCCTTCCTCAGATGCAGACAAACCATAGGTGCCACACTAGGCAGGTTTCCGTTTTGGTTTGATTTGTTTATTTTTTTACCTATAAAACCTGAAATGAGAATCTAGGCCTCCAGGACCAATTTCTAACAGTGCTATTTCAAACCAGCCCCTTGACCTTGACAGAGGGTGGGGGTGGGGGTCCCGATGGGACCCACGTTATTCTGCTAAATGAAAGGCAAGCATTTGAAGGCCAGCGTTGCGGTTCCTAGACTCATACTCATTAGCCTCCCTTGTAGTATCGCATTGGGGCAGGTTTAGGGATGTGACGGTGCTGTAGGGTCACAGTTGTTATTATTTTGGTCTAATGTGTAATGTCTATTGCTGTGTTTCAAGTGCAAGAGAGTTCATTCTAGATGATCTACTAGCGCGTTTCTATGGTCGTCTGTCACCCTCCAGCACCTCCTCTTCTACGACCGGTCGAGTTCCTGACCATCAACAGCAGGAGACCTTGGACAAAGCAAGGGGTCTGTGAGAGTCTGGAGCCTGGAAGGCCCGAGGGCTGAGCTTAGAGACGGGCTGTTCCGCACTGTGGTCTAAGGCCTTCGTCTCTGACTGTTGGCGCGTGTGGTGCTTTCTGTTCTGTACGAACTATACCACCTTCTCTACCCCATTATTTAGAATAATTTAGGAGTTGCTTCTGTGGTAATTGTATTTATTGCCTTTGAAATACACAGCGTGCATTCATATCTATGCCCCATTTCCCCTTTAAGGGCCTGGCTGAGAAGAAGACCTGAGGGAGAAAACATAATAGTGTATAGTATATAGTCTGCATTAATAAAAATTCATTCCACTTAATGATGCTTCCATTTTCCTTTTATACCAGGTTTCACTGAAACATCCCGAGATCATCCAGCCGAATTTCGCAGGGATTGGTGACCAATCAGAGGGCGTAGACGTGGATATCTGACTGCTTGCCTGTGAGTACAGTTTACGAGACTTGGGGGCAGGGGGCTCTTTTCTTAGCAATTCTGTCGCCCATCAGCCTGATTTCCTAAGTTCTTGCACCGAAAGATGAATTGTGAGAAGCCAAGTTTTCTGCGATGCCCCTCCTCATTCACTTCCCAGGCAATCTATCGAGTTCAGAAAGAATTGTTTTGTAATATGATTTTTTTGTTTTATTTTTTAAATTTTTCCTGCATATATAATATTTTAAGCAACGCAGTCCCCTTTCAGTAAAGAAGTCCTCCCTTCCTGCAGAGAATGCTGGTGACGTGAGGGAACCTAGAGAGGAGGAGTCAGTGTTGGGGGGGGCGGGGCCGGATAAGCCCACAGCGCACAAACACTGGTGACGTCAGGAGTGTTAAGTGTCTTCACTTTCCACCAACTCTCCTCAGCTGGGGCAGAAGTTCTACCTGGGCAGCAGGACTCCTGGTGGCAGTTCTGCCTGGGCAGCAAGAAGAGGGGATTTTGAAAGGCAGGGGATGGAGAAACTAAAGGAAACTTCACTTGTGCACAGTTTTGCAGAAGTTGGCACCCATAGGAAGAGCAGTTTTTCAGGAATTCAGTGTGGTTCTCAGGCAATTATTGCTTCAGGATGCTCTCAGTTACACCCTCCATCCGTCTGCTATGGCCACCACAGCAAAATACCACAGCTGGGGGGCTGAAGCAACAAAGATTTATTTTCTCAGAGTTCTGGCGGTTAAAAGTCTAAACCAAGATGTCAGCAGGTTTGGTTTCTTTGGAGGGCTCTCTCCTTGACTTCCAGATGACAGTCTTCCCCTGTGTTGTCACACGACCATCCTCCACTGCGAGAGTGTGTCTGGCGCCTCTGTGTGTGTGTGTGTGTGTGTGTGTGTGTGTGTGTGTGTGTTGTCCAAATTTCCTCTTCATAGAAGGAAACCAGTCATATCAGGTCAAGGCCCACCCTAATGGCCTCGTTTTAATTTAATCACTTCTTCGAAGACCTGATCTCTACATCCTGAGGTGCTGGGGGTTAGGACTTGAGTGTATGGATCTAGGGGAACACAGTTCAGTCCATAACACCCCATCATCACCTGATGTTCAGCTTATTGCCCATGGACTTCTAATTCTGCTCTCCCTGAACTAATCCTGAACTCCCTCAACCTCTGTGTCACTCTCAGAGCGTTGTTCTGAGCTGCAGTTCTCGAGAGTTCTTTGTGTGCACAGCTCTCATGTCTCTGTGGCACTTTATAATTTTTGGAATTGAAGAAGGTGCCTTTTACATCTCTCACAGTGCTAGAGGAGGGTTGGGGTACAGTAGAGATTTAATAATATTTATTAAATGACTGACTGATTGAATAAATAAGTGAAAAAATTAGACGAAGCCTCTGAATCTACAATTTACGTGCTTTAAAACTACTTTTAAAGGATGGTTGTCAGTGGTGCTTTCTCTTTATTCGCCACCCCTCTGCCCCTGATAACAGGTGGAAATAGGTTAAGGTCAAGGCTGGTGAGGGGCTGAAAGAAAAATGATTAACTGATGGCGGAGAGTTACCTCTCTCCTCAGAGAGGTAGGAAACAGGCAATAAATAGCATGCATTTGCCCCAGACAAGGTCACTCTCCCTCGAGAACACGGCTTGGGAACCCAGAGGGAAGGGTAATGAGTTTTCGCTGGGATGCAGCTTGAGGGCCTGTGAGGCATCCAAGGGCACAGGTCTAGAACATAAGGGATATGCAAGTCTGAAGCTCAGGTGGGAACTAGAGACAGAGATGTTCACGGTCCTGACCTCCAGGCAGGAGTCAAAACCGTGACAGTGGGTGAGGCCACCCAGAGAGATTGGGTGGAAGGAGGGGAGCGGGGCTTTAAAATGCCACCCAGACTTGTACGGAGCAAGTTTTCCTGCTAAAGAACAGGAGAGAGACCCTCTCAAGAGAAAGAAATCTCCATGCTACTTCTAATGAGGGTTTGTAAGAACATGTGTATTAGCGAATGTGTATGTCTATAGCTATTTCTCTGTCCTCTTATTTCTTTAGGTCTTTTTTTTAAATTTTCCTCCAAGGACATGCTCCTTGATTTTTAGAGAGGGAGGAAAGAAGGGAGCAAGAGAGAGACAAACATTGACCACTTGCCTCCCTTATGCTCCCTGACTGGGGATCAAACCTACAATCTAGGTATGCACCCTGACTGGGGATCGAACCCGTGACCTTCATGGTGTATGGGACAATGCTCCAACCAACTGAGACACTCGGCCAGGGCTTCTTTGGTCTTATTTTATTCCTTCTTTTTACCTCTCTTTTGTGGGATATGCCCCAAACCACTTCAGTGGGGTGGAGCTTGCCCTACCCAACTTTGCTCCCCTCTAGCTAACTCCACTCTTAAACATGTGTTTGACTCCCCAGCTGTCTGTCCAGGGGTCTCACACGTCAACACCTTTCTTTGGGACCGTTTTCATCAGCCAATCAAAACTGGTCTGACTGGATAGTGGGAGGGATCCAAGATTCCGTCCAAAAAGACAGAAAAGTCAGGTCCTTTTCAGGGTCAGGTGCCATGGAATATTGTCTTGTCTGGACAGTAAAGGGACCAGTTGGGGAAAATGTACCTCTTTTGCTCCCTGAACTCGCTCCTTAGTCCATCGTTCTCTGCTGATCTCCTCACACCACCTATGCTTTAGTGAAGCTTCGGAAGCAGTTTAGAGTTTCCCAGCAAGGCCGCAATGGGGGCTGGTGGGGTGTCTATGGGCCGTGGGTCATGACCCCATAACAGGATTCTCCCCTCTGGGCTCCACCATCCAATATCACATCTAACCGGGTCATGTTTACCCCAGCGCTGAATTTCCCTAATTTTTCCTGCTTACTGTGATGCAAGGAAAAGGGGAAAAGGTATTTGCTTCTCTTTTATCTTCCAAAGTGTTATTTCTTTTCCTGTAAGTTCCCTCCTTGCTTATTTTTCTCTCTCCCTTAGTTCTCTTTCTTTAGCAGAAACCCTTGATCTTTCCTTGAATTGCCTGATTATTAGCCAAAGAGGCTAACAGAGGTCTGGAAGCTTCCTCCTTCTTGTCTGCATACCCCCACCCATTTTTCAAACAACGAACTTAAAGATACCAGCTTTCTTCAAGTAACTTCTTATATGCTTTCCTCTTGGTGTTCTTTGGGTAGCCAGGAAACAGATTCCATTTTTCTCATAGCTACCCAGAAATGTCAGTGACACTGGCATCAGTGATTTTTGTGCACATTGCTTTTTACCTACAAGGAGAAGGGCAAAATTCTGAGGTCAAGAGGAAACAGTTCTGTGGTCTATGAATGGGCGAGGTGAGCGGTTCCAAATGAATGGTGGCCGGTGGCCAGCAGAGGTGCCTCCTGACTGTGTTTCATTAATTTCAGGCAGCTGAAGGACTTGGACAGAAAGATAATTTTCCCATGAACACGTGAAAGAAGTGCTTTCAGTTGTGTGCAGGCTTTGCCCTTGTTTCAGAATTGCATAAATGGGAGACTTTATAACCACTGTGGGCCAGTATTTTTGGAGTCACTTGAAGCTCCAGATGGAGTGAAAAGAGAAGTGTTTTTTCCCTTCCTTTTTCCTTGAGTTGTGTTGAACAAGCCTCCCTGGACACCCTCGACAAAGTGTTGGGTCTCCTGTTTAGGTCAAGTGTGCCCAGACTTCTTGCAGTCAGATCTAAAGGGGCCTCTCCCACACTCAGGGTCTCTCCCACCGACTTCTGGTTGTGGAGGTGGAGCGAGGCTCATATGTGAGAAAGCCTGGGACCACTCCTTCCCTAAGAGTCTTACCCCAGGGAGCCTGCTTTCAGGCCCCTCTCATGGGGCCTAAGGAGGAAAACATACTGTGAGCTCAAGTTTGGTTGGGGGCTGAGAGGAGGGTATGAGGAACATGGATACCCGTGGTTTCCCAACATGCTGGAAATCTTCATCATAAAGAGGGTAAGAGAACATTCCAGCATCACCCACATACAGATTTTTGGCCCAATGATGGCATTTTCCAGGCCAGGGGATTACGCCTGGCCCTCCAAAGCACCTCCGTGAAAGCACACAGCCCTGCCTAGCACGGCGGTGGATGGAAATCGGTTGTGCCAGGGTGGACACGCCCTGGCAGAGGGCACAGACGGCAGGGAGAAAAACAGACCATGGTACCAGGAGTCCTTGTCTAGAACTTTCCGGCCTTTAGTTTCAGTAAGCGTGAGTTAGTAGGCAGTAAAGAGAAACAAGATGATTGTGTTATATAGCTTTCAACCAAAACTACCAAGTCTTTTTTATTGTTATTCTATTACAGTTGTCCCAGTGGTTCCCCCTTTGCCCCCTCCGCCCAGCCCGCCCCCCACTGCCACAGTCCATCCCCACACCTTTGTCCACGTCCTCAGTTTCTTACCTGAGGTTCCAACTCTGATGAAATCTGCCCAGTTCAAGGACACAGACTCAGCTGCTTCCCAGCTCTGCTTTGGGATGTTCAGCAAAACACAGTTGGGACAATCTTGCGCTATTCCACGCGACAGACCTCCAGTGGGATTAAGTAGAACAAGCCCTCAACCCTCGGAGGCACAAAAATCTGGGACGTTTTCCCTCCCCACCATTCTCTGTGTCTCAGGTCCAACTTCACGTCGAATTAAATCTAGATATTTTTAAATTGACTTTTACTAGAGGAGACGGCAGAACTGCATTCCCGGAAATAGACATTTTAGGCCAAACTTCATTCTTAGGTTTTGATTTTTCCTCCTCCTCTTTTTTTGCTAATGCAAAACAACATGTCCATCATTCACTCTAACACCAGCCTTTAAGAGCTGGAGACAAATGGAGTCTGAATATTCACGCCCATGTGCTGCAAATGAGCTGTGATTTCAGGATGCTGGCTGCTGCTCTGACAGGGGAAAAGAGCGGTTGACTCGTTTAATATTTTTGGCTGAAAACACTTCGTTCAAGAGGGATGGAGAAGGCCAACATTAATATTGAGTCCTGTTATTTAATGACCAAAAATGATATACCGTGGAATGGAGCATCCTGGGTCTG